GGGTGGTTTTCCATCAAATAACTAGGTTTAGGAGCCTCAGTCTTGCCACGTTGTGTGTATGGGATGAAACTTGGCGAACATAACTATCTTGACGTGCCACTGGTGTATTTTCTTCTAGTGAGAGTGTTGTGATGTGTAACACCCCAATTTTTATAAACTATATTAATAAAATGCTAGTATTTATTTTAATGTTTTAATGTGTTTATTAGAAGGATTTTTAATGTTATTTAACTATTTTACATGAACTTTATTTTTATATAAAAGCATGATTTTAATTAGTATTTTGATTATTTGATATAAGACATATTTTTATGAAAATGTATTTTATTAAAGTTAAGCATATATTTTGATTAAAAAGAGAAAATGTATTTTGATTATATTAATTGTTTTATAAAAAGGTGAAGGATGGTTGTAATGGTAATTTGTTATTATTATTATTATTATAAGTGAATAAGGCTATGGGGTTATTTCACGTTTCTCACTTTTGCTTACTTTCTCTACTATGTGCTCTGAAGACTCAGGAGAACCAAGAAGAGGAGATCACCAGGGGGACCGTTCACACTTCACCTTCGATTCATCAAGGTATGGAGGAGTAAGAAACCTTGCTCAAGGTGCGGGGATAATTATTGGTAGTAGGATTGGCCCTCAATCCATTGCATGATATATGCCTATAGGATAGGGTAGAATAAATGTTTTTTATTTTGATTTCTAATTGTTATGTTGTGTTCCTTGTGGAATTCTGAGTGTGGAGTATGTGTTTAATTTTAATAGTTGATATGTGTTGATCTGATTTAAAGTGCTCTATGAGTTCCTATGAGAAATCCTATGCGAAACAATTAGGGATATAATTAATTGGTATGATTTGATGTGTTTAAGCCTAAATTGTATGCTTTTTTTGTGATCTGGATGAATAGTAGAATGTTTGTACCAAATGGATTGTATGTTTTGATGAATACATGTGATAATAGTGAAATTCACGATGTTCTAGGATTGCAACTTTGTGCATTGCGTCAGGCGTGGTTCACCGCGTCGGGCACATGTTAATTTAGGGACAAAGGTCCCCAGGGTCTTCCGCACCGAGCACGTGGAAAACCTTATCAGGCAGGATTTCCTAGGGGGCCCCGCCGGGTGCATGTCCTAGGACATTTAATTCACCAGGCACGCTGGTCATGTCCCTTCGCTTTTGGTGCGGTCTTAAATTCGTCGTGCGTGCTAATAGGCACGTTGGGCACGTGATCGCATTGGGCGCGAGCTCGGGCTGGACCCTAGTTTGCATCCTCTTGTTTTATGTTGTTTTTGAACTACAAATTAATTATGAAATGTTTATTATGGATCCAAATATGTGTATGATCATGGTGAAAGTGTAAATATACAAATGTGTAATGTGATATAAGTGATAAGTGACATGAAGAGTCTGTGGTATTAAGATTTGTGTGATATGCATCATATGCATCTATGTGCGGGGTATGATGTGGAATACACTGTTAGGAAATACCCTTTTTGTGTAACAACTTGGGGGTGTCCTAGGGGATAACGCGGTTTAGAAGTTCCAATTGCGTCCGTTTGTGTGCTTGGGACGTATCTTGCGCAACTTTGCTATCCTGATGAAACCCTAGCAATACATCCTTCAAGTTGAGAGTGCAATTAAAGGGTTGAGCCCTGCATGTCCTCCTAAACTACTCCAGGTGTGTTGCTTCGGCATCATACTAGTGATATGTGTGAGATACGTGATTGGCGCCACATGAATACATTTGTAAGTCGAGTCCATGGCATCATTGCATGATAAATGTGATGGAATCATGCCTGTGAGGGCAAGAGGTGACACATTGAAGGATTCAAGAGGAATGGGCTAGACATGAAGATTTGGGCTAGTTTGGAGCCCAATAGGCCCGATGGGCTTGGTGGGCCCAAGTTTCTCCTCACATGGGCAACACCTCGAGATTTACATTACCTTGTATTTGCATTAGTATATGTTTCATATATTTTGGTCTTGTATTTTGGACCACTTAGAATAGGATTTTGGGCCTTAGGCTTCATAGGCCTAGTTTTGGGCTTTATGGGCCTTTGGACTTTTGGTACCCAATATAGGGCTCATTTTGTTTCTTTTATTATTTCCTAATGTTTGTATTTGGTTGGCCATTGTATTTAGGCCTTTAGACTAGGAAAATTGAAGGATTACTTAAATAGGCTAATTAAGCAAAACTAGGTTTCATTTGGAAGTCATTTAAGTTGCATTTGAATCACATGTTTTTAACCATGAGTGGCGGAATTGGTGCACACTCAAATCAACCCTAAATGCTTGCCAAATGAAACATAAATGCGTGATAGCACCATGATTCACGGCCAAGCACATGGGAGATGAAAATTTGAATTCAAATTCACATTTGAATTCAAATTTAGGTGCTAAATGTGAGCTTTGGACCTTGGCGCCATCTAACATTCATTTGTGCCTATATAAGCCTTCCTCCATCATTCATGTAGTCACTTTTGAACATTTGAGAAATTTGAAAACTTCATTCAACAAATTCTCCCCCAAAAGTCTCTGTGGAACTTTGCTTAGCCTTAGGAATTTTTAGTACTTCTAGGTGAATCTGTGAGCATTCCTTTTTCTCTCTTAGGCTAGGGTGCTTCCATCTTGATTTGGTTCAAACCAAATCTGGTTCTCTACTTATCTTCCTTCTCCGGAATTGCGTTCAAGGACAATATCTTGTAAGGAACAAGGCAAGGGAGGTTTATCATTCCATCTTACCTACCTAGTTCCATCAAAAGAGTCCATGACATCATTGCATGATAAATGTTTCTCACTATAACTATTTTTGTGTGTGTGGTTACCTAATGATTACTTCCGTACATTGAGCTTGAATGAGATATTTCTCACTCATTTGTTTGTTCTTGTATGTGTTTCCATTTGTGTTTGCAGGTGTTTTTCAGCCTAATGCTGATGGGTTCCATGACGATCGATGCTTAGATGGGAAGTCTGATCAGGATAAGTGACACCATAGGATAAATTAGGATATTTCATTTTGTGATTTGGATTTCTTATGTCATTAATTCCTGGTTTTTGGGACATAGTTTTTATTCTCTTAAATTACTTTGAAAATTGACGTATTTTATTATGAAAATGTTTAAGATGTGAATGTGAGCCTTTTACCCTCACGTTATTTGAGATGCTATTTTAATTACAAAGGTTTTATTTACTCTTACTATTTATATTGCTATATATTTATGTGCTGGGTAGAGGGTGTCACATGATGGCTTGACCCAACATGTACTCCTAGAACCTAGCCTTCGAGTGGTGATAAAGTAATTTATTGGTGCCACATGTATGAACATAACATGTTTTGTACATTGAACTATGATGTGATGATGCGTGTAGTGTTAGAATGAGAATAAATGCTTATTAAATTTCCTACATTGGTAGCCGAAGTGAGATATGTTTTCACTCCCTTTTTCTTTGTTGTTTTGTTCCAAATTTATTTATGCATGTAATTTTGAATTTGGAGGAATTTAATTGATGGGACAATTTTGATCGGATGTAACATCGGGGTTCTTAGCATAAGGATTATTTATGTTTTATTTGAATTAGAAATTTTAGTTTATTTCATTTATAAACATTTTCTCAAAATGTTTGAATTTAGAACAACAATTTATTTGATTTTAATTTTTGAATTTTTAATTTGAATGTGGTGCCTTTCATACATGATTTTGATGAATAAATGAGATATATTTTAGGTATATTATTTTATATTATTGAATGTATTCATGTGGGATGGAGGGTGTCATGAAGTTGCTATGAGTGGAGTATAAATCAATGCATTTGAAGGAGCTATAAAATTGGAGATATACGCGAGGGAACTTCATGTAAGCTAAACTACTCATTTGAATATTGGAGATGTAAAATTGGTTATTTATAACCGATTTCGTATGTGCAACACATATGAAATCGATTATAAATAACTGGTTTTAAAAGTTCCAACCTACAACATTGGTCATTTTAAAATTGGTCTCACAACTGATTTTAAAGGTAAAAAATAACTAATATTAAATGTCGTTTTTGCACTAGTGTATATAATTATATATGTTTGTCTTGTTTGTGATTGCTAAACCTTATCTCACATTAGAGGGAGCATGAGTGTAATGTATTTCACTCCCTTTATTTGTGTTTCTTGTTTATGTTGGACTAAACACCAATTTGTAGGAGTTGAGCATCAAGAAGTTTGTATTGAAGATGGGACATGAGCCTTGAATTATATTCTTTGGGTTTGTTCTAATAGAGTGACATTGAAACTAAAAGAGTTTATATTTCTATTGTTACGTTGAACTTATATTTCTTAACGTCTAGAAACTGTTTAATTTTATGGCTTGTATCGGACTTTAGAAATGCACTTTATTTCCTTTTATTTCTAGTTCATGTTTATGATTTAATATTTTATATTATATCCCTTTTAAAGACTATGTTTTTAGTGATTTGAAGTAAATGTAAGTCATCTACCTTTGAAGTATTTTGATACAAACTCTTTGTTACGTTATCAAAAACATTTATATAAAAATTCTTTATTTGTTTATTATGTGTATGGAAGACTAGAGTTTGTCGCGCATCAAAATTAAAAATAAATTGTATCCTTTAAAATTGAAAGTATAATTCAAACTTAAAAAGAAAAGTAAGAACATCTTTGATAGAGTGTTCAAATAAATTATTTAAATTAAGAAATTATATATGCCTTATTTTCCCCCCCTGTTCACTGGAACTTGAGTTGGTTAAAGTTAAGCACAGTACCTTGTATAAAGAACAATTTCTTATGAACAAAGATATTTTGTTGCTTATAATGTTCATATTTTAATTGTTAAATAAAATTAGGTATAAATAAAAAAAGTATTAAAATATATCACTTAAGAGTTGTACTGTTAAAATAAAATGTAGATGAGTTGCTTAAAATTGATGCCATATAGTAGGGCTTATTTTCAATCTACTTAACAACTCAAAATAAAAAAAACACCACTGTAGATGTTATAAGGATAAATGTAAAAAAGAGTAATGTGCATGCATAAGTAATTAAGAATATACAATATATGTAACATGAGAAATTGCGTTAACAAAAGCTAAAGACTTGTTCCATTTTTTGATTCTTGAGTCTCCGCCACAGCCCATTTACTAACACGATCTCGTGTCATCTTTACCTGAAAAATCAAATACAACATTTTAATATGCTTCAATCTATCTATACTCTATTATAATAATTTCATTTTTTAATTTTTTCTTTTTAACTGAAAATATTACAATAATTTTCACTTTATCCTAAATTGTTGTGAAACATAGTGATGAAATGAATATAAAAGGAGGGGTTTAAAAATGTGAAATTATAATAACAAAGTTAAATATAATTTATAACCAAAATGGAAAAGTATGAAGCATAAAAGACAAAGACTAGTATGTTATTACTTGGTTTTCCCAGTCAGTTCTACAAGTGATGATAATGAGCACTATGGTTTGAACAAGTATTCCAAACTGCATCCCCATCCAAACACCCTGCAAATTATAGATCACCGATTTGGAATGATAACTAAACTCACTTAAATGGTAGTTACAATTATATATAAAACAATTATTCATCAAATGGGTGCTGAAATTTGAATAATTATTTATAAATTTTTGTTAGTACCATGAGCTATCCTGTTCTCTTTCTCTCTTTAAGAATTATAAATATATATATATATATATATATATATATATATTCTTTTAAATAATGTTTCTATTTTCTTGATGTTTTACAGTTAGTTTTAGAAGAAAATAAAAAATAAAAAAATGATTTTACTAAATGAAAATTTTCATTCAATTGAAATGTGAATATTACATTCAAGTATATAAGTATTAACAAGGTGTAGATATTAACACAAATTAGGTACTTTAATATTTTGTTCAATTCTGATCCATTAAATGACATTTGTACCATCAATCAATTTACTTATTTTAATCATGACATTTTAAGAGTGGACATAAGATAGATATTCATTACCTTTGCTTGCAACTGGAAAAAGTACCCAATCACTACCCCAACAGGAATACCAATTAGGTAATAACTGGCTAAGTTTACATATGCTACAATGCTTTGCCACCCAGCTCCAATAGCAACTCCTATTGATAGTATTAAATACCAAATCTCAATAAAATACTATATCATTTGAATAGTTTTAATATAAGCAAAAAGAAATAGGGGAGAATTTAATTTATATATAGGTTGAAGATTGATATATATATATATATATATATATATATATATAACATTAATCTTTAAAAGTCCAACTATAATGAGCCAATTACAAAAATCACATATAATTGCTAAAAACAATTGAGTTTCTCATATGTTTCAAAATAATACTGGGGTTATTATGGATTATAGAGACAACTCGAAAGTTCATTTTAAAAAATAAAATAGAATAATAAAAAATAATAATAAAATAATAGTTAATATTGTAATTAATTTTAATTTTATCACAATTTTTCATGATTAATATTATACTCAAATTAATAATGAATGAGGACATCTTGTTCTCAAAACTATACCTCCTCATCTTATGTCACCGTAATTTTAAAAATGGGTAGCTAATTTTTCAATTTCTTAAAATAAGTTGTGTTTATTTTTTTATTTTGTATCTCGTGTTCATTTTTTGCAAATATATATATTTTATAATTTTTTAAGGATTTTTTCAATGATCTCTGTACATTTTTTTTTTTTGTTTTATTTCATTACATTTTGACAGTAAACTAATAGAAAATTAGGAGATATCTATTTGGTGAGATACATTATATATATATATATATATAATAGAAATAAATATTAATGATTAAATTTTATTACAAATGATTAAGATTAAAACATAAGTTTTGTGAGTATTTTAAAAACTCACATGATTTCTTAAATGTCACTTTGAAAAATTTAAATCTCGACCATTTATACATGTTATATTCAAGAAATTTGCTCTTGTATAAAAGAACACGATCCTAAAAAACTAACAAAGGGACTGTTTGATAAAATAAAAAAAAAAAATGTTTCACCAGGGATTCTTTTAATTTTATTTATCAACAAATAAAAATAGGATAACAAACAAAACATTCACAAATTTGAAAAGATAAAAATTACTTGTAGTTGTACCTGAAAACATTAATGCAGTGATTATAGTTTTAGAAAGGGTAAATTAAGTTAGAGTTTACCAGAGAGCACTGGTTGAACACTATTTAATAGCATGGAGAGTGAAAGCAAAGTGGATAAGTCGCCAACTGCATCTGCGACATCAGGGTCGTGAGTGAAAACATAAGCAAGCCTTTTCTTGAGGAATAGGAAGGCAAAGAAGAAGACGAATCCAATTGCCGATGAGGTGAGAACTGCTACCACAATGGAGAATTTTGCAGCCCTTGAACTCCCTCTTCCTAGTTCATTGGCCACTCGAACACTGCAAAGTAATCCAAGTATATACACTATTATTATTATACTAATAGTCACAATATGAAATTTGCAAAACACTCATCTTATACCGAGAACTTTGGATAGTCTGATAATATCATGATTATGAATAATCTCATAAATTTAACAAAAATCGTTTAAAATATAATACCATTTTAAAATTTTTTATATCTAACTTAATTTTATAAAATCTACCTATAAAATAAAATTGTTCTTCACTTAAATATTATATCACTAGTCAATATGGGATTTTCAATAATTTCTTCATTGTTTATATTTTTTTAATTTCAGTATTCTTTAGTTTATTTAATTCTCATTTACTTTTTTCCCCTTTGTTGTGCCATATCTTGAGTGAAGAAAACAAAAGAATGATAACAATAAAGCACGCACCTGGATGCAGCACAAAAGCCAAGGGCTATCATCAATTCCCATCCATTGATGCTTAGACTGTAAAAGGATGATAATTTGTGCGAACAGTCACAAGATTAGTTTCTTATCGCTTAATATGAGATTTGGAAGAAAAAAGTAGATTGACAGTTAATTAATTACCATATAGACAAAGCATCAACAGCAACCTTGGCATTTTTCATGTTCCCAGTTAAAAGAACCAAAATTCCTGTGTACCATACCTCAAGACTGTAAAAGGAACCATATTTAGTTGTGTTAGTCCTGGAACACTATTTTATCCTACGTAGCATGGAGAAGATAGAATATAGCTATGATCTCACATATATGAAAACCATAAAATACGTGGCTATAATACAATACATAAAGGTGGCATAATGCTAATATAAAACATAAATCTTATTATATTAAAAGAGTGAATTAATCATGATTTAATAATGAACAAGATTAATCCCGGACATGATAAATTGTTATTAGTGTGATGTTTTCCATTTGTATTGATATGTAAGTTGAAATTTTGTAAAATGCTAAAAGGAATATTCAAAGTGTCTATGTATTGTCTCTTATGAATATCTATAAAACACAAGTACACATGACATGACTTCGGAGCACTAAAGTTCCATAAAAAAACTCTAATTTTATTTCTGTCTCTTTCTTTCTCTTCTTTTCTAATTATATTAGGTATTATAATTATATTTATATTACTTTCTTTTCTTTTCTAAAGTGTACACACCTTAATGTATACATTAAAAAAAGTGTATACACCTTAAAAGGGTGTAAACAGATCTTTTAATTTTTTTATGAAATATAAAATTAATGATAGTAACCATATGTTCACCTTGTGCACGTATTAATTAAAGACCCTTTCTTCATTGATAATATTCTTTTGCCTAAAAAGAAACTAGGTATAAGGCCAATAGCAAATTATGAAGCTATAACACATGTAAAACAAGGTCCTAAATTTTTAAAGTGAAAAAAACAACTATTTCTTTTTTGGTTTCTATATAATAGTAGTTTAGAGATAAAAATTTGCCACTATCAAATCATTGAACTTGGAGGACTTCCGCACTTTGATGGCTTGGTGAATGGCCAATTAGACAATAAGTTAAAGTCAATTACAATTAATGCATAATCATAGAAATTGATTGTTAAAAAAGATTAATTTCTTACCACAACATACCCCCAGAGGATAGAGACAACTTTGCAATAGGCCAAAGATCTTTGAAGGCAAGAAAAGTGAAGCCCTTCCATGTATCAGGGCATTTGTACATGATAAACATGAGCTGACCCAAATTAGGTAACCAATATGCCATAATTGTTGATGTCATTGCACCATTCATCCCAAACTTGTACTTAACTGTCAAAAGCCATGACATAAAAAGGTGAATTGCAATTGAAATTGCTGCTAGGTAGGCAATGATTGAGTTCTTGCTCTGAGCTTGTAGGAACATTTGGCAAGTGAATGACACAACGTAGGCAAAGATCACAGCTATAAACCAAGCAGAAATGTTTCCTGCTTCTCGAGCAATGTCTTCATCTTGGCCTAGAGCCAATAAAATTGGGGTGGTAAAGATGAAAATAGGAAGAAGTAAGATTGTGGTCAAGGACAACACTATCCATGATCTTTGTAGATACACTCCAAGCATGTTATACTGTTTTGCTCCATAGGCTTGCCCACAAATAGTTTCCAATGCACTTGCCATACCAAGCTGCAATATTCAATTGACAAACATTTGAAATTTGAATCATGTAGAATCTAGACTCCATTAATTAAGGGTGGAAAAAGGACCACAAAACAAGGCTCAGATGTGGGGTTCAAGGAGGATGATATACACAACTTTACTTTGCAATCAAATAATTATTTTTCTTAAGATTTGAACTCGCAATCTTCATGTTAGAAGGTAGGAACCTTACTATTGCATCGAGACTCACTTTCACCTGGAACATTTTACTTTTTTTATGTAGAATGTAAACTCAATAAACAAGATATGTGAGATCTAGGAGAAACACAGAGTATTAAAAGTAAGAGAAACACTTACCAATATACCATTAGTAAACCTGATTAGGACAGTCATGACAATGGCATATGCAGCAAATTCAATGGAGCCAATGTGTCCAATAAATGCTTGACTTATAAGAGTGATACCAAACGTTGAAAATCTTGAGAATATGGCAGGGCCCGCTATCACCCACATCGTCTTGTTTTCCTTCCATAGCCTTTTCCCTAATGACTCTTTCTGCTCATCAAACTCTGAATTGGTTGGTTTCTCCAAAAGTTGCTTCTTTGCCTCATTGATCTCCATTGTCACTAGTACCATGGAGCAGCTAGTTGTTAGTGACAAAGATAATTCATATATTGCAAAACAAAAAAAAAACAAAAAAAATAAAAATAACATGACCTAGGACCTTATTAAAGAAAACAATATATTAAGATACACTATTTCACATAAAAGAAAAGGGGAGACCTAAGGCCCTAGAGTGTTATCTTTTCACTTAATTACAATGACAGTTAGTCGGTTAATCTATATATATTAGATGTAACATTATTTTAGACTATCTTGTCTTTAACAATTTCAATTATTTTAGTGTGAAAGTAATGTAACATGTTACTACTTATTTATTTATTTATTTATTTTTTTAAGGAAAAAGGAACAAGAAAACATTTTGAATTTTTATTATGAAAACAAAATACCCTTTTATACTGAAATAGCTATGGTAAAGAATATGCGTACCATCAGTGGGATAGAAGTTGAATTTTTTTTTTCTTCGAGCAGATTCACACCACTCACTACAAAATAAATTGTCACACGGTTGACACGTACACACCGATATAATACTTATTAGTAAGGATTACTTTTACCAATACTACATTGATATGTTGTTAAAAAAAATATAACCTATAATAATATAATATATATATATATATATTGTTAAATCTCATTTTAAATCAATATAATATTAATACTACATTAATATGTTGTTAAAAAAAATATAACCTATAATAATATATAATATATATATTGTTAAATTTCATTTTAAATTAATATTAAAATTATGTATAAATATATGTCATATAAATTTGTATTTTTATATATCATATAATTATAATAACACTTTTTATATATTATATATGTAAGATTTTTTTAAGTATCAAGACATGTCTAAATTCACTGCTTCATGTAGATTTTATTATTTTTAATGAGTCTTGATGACTGATGATCACTTACTTGCATCCACTCAATTTACTGTATAGCCGGTTGATACTAATCATTAAACAAAGTTCAATGGAAAATTTTTATTTTACACATACTAGTTTTAACATCACTACATCAGTCACCGTAAATTATTTTCAAATGGCATGCAACGTTGAGCAATAATAAAGATTATTTTTCAATATGTTATTAATATAAATGAAATGAGACTCAATTTCTTAAGTAACATCTAAAGTTTAAGTTTTAGTTTGTTTTGTAAATGAAAAATATATAGTTAAGAAGAGAGAGAAAACTCTGTTAATGGTGGTTAACCAAAATTAATCATCAATAAAATCAATAATACTCTATCCTAATAATATATAAAAAAAATATAATTATAAAGATTACTTTAAAAAAAAAATACAACTTATGGGTTAAAAATATTTATATTTTTTTTATCCAGAACGATACTGAGAAGTGATGGAAGAAAATGAAGGATGATTTTTTATTAAATATATTTTTAATTCCTTAATTATTTTTGTTAATTTTTAATTTTAATCCCTAAACAAAATATATTTAGTTTTAGTCACTAAAATTTTTGTCATGGGAAAAAAGTTGATGTCAAGGGCTAAAATATTAACTGGAAAAAAATTTCAAGACTAAAAATAAAAATCAACAAAAATTCAAAAATTAAAACTAATAAATAATTTGTTAAGAGAATTATAAACAAAATTTGAGAAAAGAGGAACGAACTTTACCTCACCTAAACAGCACCGATCAAATTTAGTATACAAATATAGGATAATTCACCAACAACTGTACCATCATAAGACAGAATTGAACAAGATAATTATTAAGATTCTGAGTTTTGAACAATAATATATAAACAGATCAGATATAGCGGAAGAACTTGCCTAACAAGCAGAACATGCATCAAGAAACCAAGGCACCAAGGCACTAGAAAACAGCCAAGTTTAGGGGTAAAGCTCAACTGTCAATGATCGATGTCAGAGAATGAACACTAGCCTAGACTTGTACACACACTCAAAGGCACAAGCACACTCAACACGAAGGTTTTATAAAAAGGTTACAATGAATTGTGCCGTCTAGTCAATTCGGAATATGTTGAGAGGGGGAAGGGGTGTGGGGATCAGTTTAATTTTTCTTTTCTTTTTTTTACAAAGATATTGGTTTGAATTGAGTGAAATCTCATGAAGGTTAATAAATATTAATTACTATGTAAACATATATAGTAATTTATTTTAGGTTGGAAGTTGTAAACAAATGATGTTTAGAACAGATACACATATTAAAAATTGTATTGAATTAAGATTTTAATATATTTTAAAAGGTTTTTTTTATTATATAAAAGTTTGATGATATTTAATTAAGATTATTTTTATTAAAAAAAATTATGTTGTATTCGATTAAAATAATCAAGAATTTTTTAAGAATTTGTTAAAATTTGATTATTTTGCATGTCTTTTTTTTTTTTTTTTTCTATTTGTTCTCTTTTTTTTCTCTTCTCTCCTAAATTTTCTCTCTTGTTTTTATTACTTCTCTCTCTTTCTTATCTCTCTCGATTTTGTATTTTAAAAAATGATTTTTAATATTTTAATGATGATTATATTTTTATTTATGAATTATGATTCAGAAATAAAAAGTTTTGAAAAGGCTATAACTCTTAATTTTGTTAGATTAATATTCTAATTAATGTTGTTTTATATTAAATTCTTAAATGAGTCAATATTAAATATTTATGATTTTTATTTAATCATATTTCTAGTTTTTTACTTTTTGCTTGATAAAGTGTTCTCACCTAAGAATGACAATGGGTAAAGTCTAGGTACTTAGGTAGGCAAAAAGTCTATCTCTGTACCTACATTTTAAACAAATACATGTATCCATATAGAGAAAGAGGAAGGATTCGTTTAATCTATGAGTAAGTCTACCCAGACTTATTCCATTCAATAACTCATGTTTTACATCAAATTTCAATGATCCAACCGTTGAATTTAAAATTCTTAATTCATAGATCAAGTTTGTAGACTTTAAAAAAAAATTAAAAACTCATTTGGTATTTTGTTTCATTAATTCAAATCAATGTATAAAATACCTTTTTAATTATCCGTCAATTTTAAATGGCTTTGTGTTTAGGGTTTAGGGTATCAAATGGTTTTTAAAAATTTTAAAACTTTATAGACTTGATCTATACATTAAGAATTTTAAATTCAATAATTGGATCATTAAAAATTATTTGTGAAAAAGGTGTTATATCGATTGAAAATTCACTCTTAAGTTATATAAACACAGTCTTAAATTATTCATGACATAAGTTTTTCTTTACAATAAATTAAAATATAAGTTATAAATCATTATCAATTAAACAACATTAGAAACATGTCGATATAAATATGTCATAATAATTTAACATATTTATTTTAAACATTGTATTTTATTTTATCATTAAAAAATATTACAATGACAGTAATAAGGATCAAATCTATTCTTATATGTCTATATCAATCTACTCCATTAACTACTAATTTAAAAACACAAATAGATAATAAAAAATTACCTTGTCTATAGAATTAGATTCTTCATATTTGTTTCTTTCAAGTCTAAATATTATTTTCGTCAAATAATACTTATAGAAATTAAAACATAACAAAAAGACTAAGAATTAAATTATTTAAAATAATAATTAAAAATTTTAATTAAAGATAAAACATGAATAAAATTATAATAGTGCAGTGTAGGTTCAAGTGGAATAGGTGTTATGCATGCTCACTTCCATCTGTATTGAATTTTTCTACTAAGTTCTCATTTCCACTTTCATCTTCATCATGTGAATTTTTAGATTTTTACTCTCTTCACTAGAGATTTTTTTTTTTTGTTAGTTGTCATAAAATTAAGATACATTTTATCATCATTACCATCCTCACCTTTCCTATTTTGGACTTCATTTCCTTTTAATTGCATGTCAAAGGATGAAAGTCAAGTCAATTTTTTTCCCCCTAATACTATCTATGGGTTTTACTAATAGAGCCCAAAAAATTTTAAAAAAAGTTTGAAGATGTAAGCGAAAACAAAAGGGTAAGATATAGTGATATACAAATGCATCTAAGTGAAAGTTAAGAATGTTCCTGATGTGTATATTTGAATAAATTTTTCCAATAACATTTTTAAGAAAGAAAATAAAAAAATGAAATTAGTTCTTTCGTAAACATAAGCTAACTTGCACAAATTATTTTTTATTAATTTCTCTAAAATCTTAATTTTAATTTATTCCTTAGTTGGTTTTAGTTTATAGGAAATTTCATTTCGAATTTATTTTTATTATTTTCTCCTAAAAATACTTCTAAAAAATTATCTAAATATGTCCTTAAAAAGTTTGTATACTTCAAATCTTTAAGGAAAATGTATTATGGTTGGATCTCTGTGCATATCAAATTTTAATTTCATTCTGTTTATAGCTGAAAACAAATAAAGTATTAAATATAACAAATAGAAGTCCGATGTTAATTTAGAAATCCAATCAAGGTAATTCTGTTCAAGGTATGAAAAAAATATTTTCATAAAAAATTAATTTCATTCGAGAATGAAATTAATTTTTTTAAAAGTATTTTTCTAGTTATAAAAAGAATTTTATTCTTTTTTTGTATATATATATATATATATATATAGGTTTTATATTTTCAATCGCTTTAACATGAATTATTTGAAGTTTTTGCACTCTACACACACAACACACACACACACATATATATATATATATATATATTTTACATGAATGTACTCTTTCTTTTATTGATTAAGAAAAAATAAAATGCTTCATGATTAATACTTAGACAATGTACACTCGTGGTCTCGTGCACATATATGCATTGGTGGTCGATGCATGTTCTTAATTAAAATATGATATCAAACCTCTATTTTTTTTATTAGTTATCAATACTTTTACATGACCAACAAATTAAAAATCACCATTAACATGTCTTTTTAGTTATTTCTTGTAAAAAAAATAACAAATTTTTATGCATATTGATTTGTGATTAGATAATAATAATAATGCATGTTTTATAATACCCTTTATTCCCATTTGTAATGTAGTGAGTAGATTCTGGATTTTAGTTGACTTTAAAGAGAAGTTTTAGAGAGAATGACTCTGGTCCGTGAGCTCCTTTCTTTTCCAAATTTCTCTGTCTGATTCCTCTTCTCTTCTAGGTTACTAATCTCTTCTATCTTATCTTGAATTTCAGACTAGAAAGCTTACTTTTGGAGGATTGAAGTCCGTGAGTCGAGCTCCGAAGGAATTTCTTGCTTCTTTATTCTTGGTCATTCTTGAGCCAATCTTCAAGTGAGGGAAGCTAGAATGTTTGTCGTTTAGTTGTATGTGAGTTTAGAGACTCAATTGATGCATGAAAGTCGAGGATCCATGGCTGAAGCGAAGAATTTGCTCATTTTTTGGAGTTTTGAGAAAAATGGAGTTTTTGGTGATTTTGGTGCATCGGATGGGTGCATGTTGATTTTGAGTTTGTTTTTTTGTTGTGTGGAGCCTATGCATTGTGTTTCCTTGTTTGCATGTGGCTGGATTTTCTGATTTTCAGGTGTTGGATGAAATTTTTGAGGTTTTGTAGATTCTTGTTTGCATTTGCGCCAGGCGTAATTCTTGGCGCCGGGCATGTATTCATCAGAGCACCCATTTCTTGATCACGCCAGACGCGAGGTTAGTCACGCCAGGCCTGATTGTAAATGCGGGTCCCTGGATGGGTCATGTCGGGCGTGAGAAGAACCACGTTGGGCGCGATATCAGATAGTGAACCTGTTTGTGATTTTACTGGTGTGGCGCCAGGCACAGGGTGGGTGCACCAGGCGCGGAGACCTATAAAGGTCTTTGTGTGGACGATGTCAGGCGCGGGTTAGCGCGCCGGGCGTGGAGAGACTCACTACTAGAAAAATTAAAATTAGAGAGGGAACAA